GCAAGGACAACGACGCTGGCGTCGTACTGTCCCAGGTACGAGACAGCGCTCTTGTACGGCGAGGCCCAACGTCCTGCAAAGAGCCAAATTCCAGTCAGCGGGACAGATAGGGTCAATGAGAGTCCGTTGCACCCACCCAAAGTCATGGGGAAGCCAAACATGCGCTGCGCGTACCGCCAAATTGTGGAAGTTGTGCAATCAGGTCATCAAAGCTTGACATATCGTAGGTGGGGGTCTAAAGTAGCGGACCAGCGCGGCAGTCGTGAGCGAGTATCACCCTGATCATCATCTCATCATCGCCAATTGTAAAAAAAAAAAGGCACGCCAAGGCGCGGCGTGGCGTTCAGGTGCAAGGGGGTGACTTACTTGAAGGAGGTTGTTCGTGGCGTGAATGGCGCAGCACATTCGCTTCTGGCGTTCCAAGTACAAGCCATCAGGTGCAAGCCGACGAAGCGCCTCGGCGTGGCTCGCCTCAGCCCCAGAGTCGGCCATGGACGCGGGACCATGCCATTCCGCTACCGGCTCGGCATCATGCTGAACTTGGCCCTGTTGATCCTGTATTGCCCTCCCCGCTTCAACCGAGGCGCCTTGCGCTCCACCGGATGCCGTTTCCGCCATCGCCACCCCGGATGCGTCCAAAAAGTGAGAGCGGTCTGAGTCAGTCTCGCTCTCTCTGTGTCTTGCTCTGTCCCTCTGTGTCTCTGTCTCTCGCTCTGACTCTCTGACTCTCTGTCTCTCTGTTTCTCGTCTCTCTCTCTGTGTCTCTGATGTCTCTGTCTCTCGCTTACTTTGACTCGGTGCACACGCAACCTCGGGTATTTTCAATACAACACCTCTTTTTTAGATTACAAAATTCAAGGGGTAGTGAGAACTCCCTAAAGTAAGATCATTATCAATGCATGTATGCAAACCGCGCGACAAGGTCGCGGACACAAACCTGCATTCCGCGCGCGACGACCGACTCCTGGTGACTGTCCTCCTCCTGTTGTTGATCCTGCAAGGCAAGGCTGGCTTTGGTTATATGTATAGCATCGTCCTTGAGTGTTTGAAGTCTGGACGTCTTTACTCAAACAAGCCCACTAGCGCGCGTGCGCTTGCGCTTCATGAGACCTCTGTCACCTTGCCACACCGGCTCGCTGACACACGTTGCTGGATGATTTGTTGGGGTATCCACATTTCTTCCCGTCAACAGAGGCTTGCTCGTGCGGTTCGCGCCCGCTCGCCCCACAGACATTTCTCGGCTTGCCCCTTTTGGCATCAACAGTCCCTGCCTGACCTTTGAAGCATAAAAACACGCTTCACAACGCAGCCGCAGCCCAGACCAGACACATCAGTCTCCAGTGCCCCGCGGCCCCGCTGCCACAACCTATTTTTTTCCCTTCCGCCGCCACCACCATCCATATTCACGTTTGCTTAGCCACCCGAGTAGCCGTGAGCACCGCAAGCCCTCCGCGCGGCGTTGTTCAACAGAGCTCGCACCGTGCGTCACAAGACAATACCCGCACCCACCGGCACGATGGCCACCGCCGATCTTGCTGGGCCCACCCCTCCCGTGCACCAGGACCCCGACTTTAAATCGATCAGCGATGACGAGGAGGAGGGGCCGGCGGCCATGGCCCAGCACCTGCGCACACGCCGCCGCCTGGACATGCGCACCTCGTCCACGGGTGGTCTCTCTGAGGCCTCCTCTCTCCCCTCCAGCCCCGATGCCGACGAGCACGGAGAGAATCAAGAACACGAACATACCCAGGACGATGAGTGCTCCACTCAAACGAACCTTGAAGAGACACCAGCCAATTCTACGCTGGGCATGGTGGTGCCATGTCCTGGTGACGTGAGCATTGGCCCACCAAACGAAGACGAACTGCCCACGTTTCAAGACATGTGGGTTATCCCCGGCTTTCAGCGCCTGCTTTGCAAGAGTGTCCACGCACAACCGCGCCGTGCCCATCGGGATTCCGACTTTAACGAGAATGGTGTGTCCCCCCTGCTCCCCTTCTCCTACCGCGTCCCCGTCTTGCGTTGTATCCCGTCGCCCTCTGCCTCTGAATTACCCTTTTCAAGCGCTCATCCCCACTTTGCCTTGCTTGGCCTCTTGCATCTGGGTGGCTCGGCTGTCCGGCTGAAACAACAGCCAGCTCTGTCGGAGGGGACTCGCCCCGTCCATCGCTTGACGGGGCTGCTGCCCCTGGAACGCGGCGACGCGCCAATAGTGGCGCCTCCTCGATTGTCTCTGCCCTCTCATTCCGATCCGCAGACACGACCTCCCGTGGTTCCCTCAGTGAGGGCAGCGTCCGCAAACCACGCAACACCCTACTGCGCCGCCTCTCCTGGAAGCGCACGAAGAGCAACTACAATATGAAGGAAGCCCTCAAGCAGAGCGAAGCCTGTGGTTCAGCCAGCGACAGCGACTCCACCATCAAGCCCGTCACTAAGAACGACAAGCCTAAGCGTCGCAAATCGTTCCTGCGCCGTAAAAAGGGCCTTGATGCCAACACAGCCGTCGAGAGTGCCGCTAAAAAGTTTGAGGAAGAAACCACGACCTCACGCCGCCGCCACCTCTCCGGCTCGGACGAGGCCGAGGTGACAGGCCTCTCTCTCATCACATACATCAACTCGCTCAAAGAGCTCGAAAGCATGAAAGCTCAGTGTTTCGCCGACGACTGCGATGAGCAATTCACCTCCTTGGCCGAGCTGCAAGAGCACATGCTCACTCTCCACGTCCTGCCACGCATTCAGCAAGTCCCAGACTACGTGTACCTTTTCCACGAGGACCTTCCATTCTTCAACCAGCGAGACGTCGTGGCTAGCATCACCTATCATGAGCGCGATTCGCCCCTGGCCCAATTTTACCTCAACCAGCCCATCTTCAATATCTCTTGCTTTCGGCCAGGTATGTTTTCAATGGAGCCTGACCCCCCCTTCCCCACTCTTCTTTTACGTCCAACCGCTGCATGCTTGACACTCGTCAGCACTCATCACCTGACCCTTCATCCCTAATCCGTGCCCCTAGTGGAGGACAACACCACCACAGTGAGTCTGTCCGACATTGACAATCCTTGCCGTGACAGTCGGACGGAGAAGATTCGCCGCTTCATTGGCAGCGGCCTTCAAGTCTCAATCCGACGCAAGTGCCTCTACGTGACGCGCCTATCGCGCAATCCCGTCTTTCTCAAGGTTCGAGACTGGTTTCGCTGACACAAGAAAGAAACATGACCCCCGTCATCCCTCTCAACCTCAATGTTTTCTTCTCAGAACTATCAAAGCCCGTCAACAGTCTCAGACTCAATTCTGTTGCGTGAAAACGGGGAGCTTCCCGACGGCGCCGAAGTCTGCCTCTTCGACTACCAAGTGTTCTCCAAAGAGATTGCTCGCATGCCTGCCGAGCTGGCCCTCAAGATGGCGACGGTCTCTCTCGCCTTTGTAAGTGACTTGCCTTTAAGGGCAACCTCCTCCCCGTACATTGTCCTTTCTCATCACGCAATCCTGTTTAGGTGCGAACGGGTGAGTTTGACGACAAAATTCCTTGCTGGATCCGCATTCGAATGGGAGATGCCTTGCGCATGTGGGAAACCTTGACCCATTCAACCCAAGATCACGCGTAAAAAGCGCTGGATCAGCTATATAAGATGGTTTCGATGTGCATGTGCTCGCAAGCGCCAACATTGCTTCGTGTGTTTCCATCATCCTGCCGTCCATGTTGTTTGAATCGTTGATTTTGTGCAGCACCATGGTGCTCGGTGCATTCGTCGTGATATCAAAATCATTCTTTGAGTTAACCCTCCCCGGTCGCTGTCTCGTTCTCGTTACACCTGCACAAGTGCGTTCATGCTCGAATGCCACCGATTGCGGCCCTTATGCCAGTTCTTGATTGTATTCGTGCATACTGGCCTGCTTCGGTACGCTTCTGCCGTCTGGGCGCCTGCATCTTGTATATACTGTACATGTCATAATGAAGCCTCGTCAATTTTACTATCCGAGCCAATTGATTAATGGATTTTCCATGCCTACACACTGCTCACACCGCCAGACGCTCAAGCAAATAACGACATGCATTAGTGACTGAGCTCCAGGCTCAGAGAGACTAGGTTGGTCGCGACCACATCTTCAGCTCGTTCGAGAAGAACGCAATGTGGCATCCCTGACCCTGGGGGCAGGTAGTGGAAAATCGCGGCGCACAAGCCGTGGTGAGTGCAGGCCTGGGTACACTCTTCTACGGTGCGACCGTCGCGCAACACGTCCAACTGAGCGTCTGTCTGAAAGGCATTGCCAAAGCGCAAGGATTCCCCAAGGGGCTGAGACCCCGAGGCGCGGAGTAAAGTGCCCGACGGTGTCCAGCGTGGATCAAAGTCAAACTGTGCTCGGCATTGCAATGAGGTGGAGTGCGAGCTTGTCGCTACGCCCGCCTCACCCACGTCCGCGAGAAGCTTACAGCGGGCTCGTGCGCCTACGAGCCAAAAGAAGGCTCCGGTGCATGAATTTCGACGTAAGCAGGCTGCTTCGCAGCCGGATTGGTCCAAGTCGTACAACTCCTCCAAGAGCGCTGTCGCTACAAAAGCCGTGGCAAAGCGCCGTGGCGTGTGGGAAACGTTGGTCAGGCCAGGAACCGTCAAGACACCCTGATGTGCCACCTCGCACCCACGCCACGTTTTTCGAGTCAAAGATAGTGAGTTTGACTCTGTTGAGACCCCATCGGGTGTTCCAAGATCAGAGAGGAGATGGCATCGTGTTTCTCCAGCTTTTGTGAGCCAGAAGAATGCACCGCGGCAAATGGCCGATGTCTCGCAGGCTGCACAGCATGCCTCGAGCGACACCTGTTTGAGTTCAGCCTCGTACTTCTCTGGAGTGAAGGCGGTCGAGAAGCGCCGCCGGTCGGTTTCGCTGTCAAAAGTGATGCTAAAGCCGGGAAGGCTAGGCGCCGTTGGTGCCGCTGTCTCTGACGTTGTTCCAGGAGTTGCCATGTTGTCAGTCGTTGTGAACGAGCTTGAAGTTATGGAGGCCATTGGCTCCGAACGCGAGCTGCTGGAGGTGGAGGTGGAGGAGGTGGACGTGGAGGTGGACGTGAAGGTAGAAGTAGAGGTCGAGGTCGAGGTAGCGGTCGAAGTAGCGGTAGAGTTCAAAGGCAGCGGCTGCGTCGCGGTGGCGGTGAGACACTCGAAAACATAAGCCGGTCGCTCCACATGCGGGGAAAACAACGCAACAGTGCTTGAGCTGAGCAAATAAGCGCGAATGCTCGAGCCCGCTGCCATGGTAAATTGCACCCGAGTTCGTGGCCCCGGTAGAGTGCCCCCGTACACCCAGGAGCTCGAGCCATTGTCAGCATGACCCGGCAGCAACAAGGGGCTTGCCATATGGAGCAGGTTTGAGCCGGCCACATGCAACGACAGTTCTGCCGCCAAGCCACCATCCCAGGATCGTGTTTCGATGACGAGTGCGACAGAGCAAGTTGTTGGCGTTCGGTTGTGCTCCACCTGCCAGTTGACTGCCGCGACTATCGGCAGGCCCAAGTAGGCCTGAGCCCACAACCGCGTGTCGGGCTGATTCAAGGCGCCATCGCCGTTGAAGTCCAGGCTTGCGGCATTAAACAGCTTATTCAGCTGCTGCAACCCGCTGAGGTGCGTTGTTGGCAAGACCATTTGTTGCAGGGGCGTGCTCCGAAACACGAGAGCTGCCAGGTCCCGTAGATCTAACTCACAGTCTCCGTTGGCATCACCCCAAACGTCTACGGGGCAGCTGGCAGCCGCGGCACCGTTGCATTCATTGCGAGTAATAATGTCATAAGGTGTGCATGATACGTCTCGCGGACGTCGCGCCAAAGTGGCGGCCTCAAGCTGCAGGCTACTGTTAAGGACATTTGTATACGTGCGGCTCAACAGGCCGGGCCCCACGAGCTCCAAAACCTCGGCATGAAGGGCTGCGTGAGCAGCCGCGTCAAGTTCCACCCACGCCATCTCCAGAACTGTGCCTGCATCGGCCACAATGACTACAACCTCTAGCTCGCAGTCGCGAAGTGCAAACTCCAACCAGGCTCCAGCCTGGCCAACGCGTGCACTCGCATTGGCCAGTGCCTCACATGAAGCGGACAGAACAAAACGCAGTATCGTGCCAGCGCTCAGCTCTTCATCCATGTAGAGCCACAGTGGAACCGTCACTCTATTGGTTGTCATGTCGTTTGTCGATCCAATCCACAGCCCACGCTGCGGCGGCGCGCCGAGAGCTATTGAGAAAGATCCATTCGAGAAAAAGAGGGAAAAAAAAAAAAAAAAAAAAAAAAAAGTCCAAGGCCCGCGTTAGAGTGTCAACGTTGCCTTCCTCATACATGCCAGAGGGCCAGAAAGAGAAATCGAGAAAGCTCGCCATGCACCACGGGTAGGCACACAATACAGGGCACAAACAAAACCAACCTGGGACTTGCACGCTTGCAAATGGACTGCCTCGAAATTGAATGTCCACTTGCACTGAGCCAGCACGGGGTGACATCACCTGGCAGTGGCCTGTCTCGGCATTGACACCAACGACTTCAGGTTCATGGCTGCGGAAGGACAAGAGCTGCGGCAGTAGGGCTGTGCCATCCCGCACAAAGAAGGTATGGGGTAAGAGGACCCCCTCAGCAAACAAGACGTGGTCAAAGACCACCTGCTGCGCTGGCGAAACACTGGCCCCATGAACGGCGACCACGGCCCGTGGGGAGCTGCTCACGCGGGTTTGCGCGATATTGCTCATGGAGACACCGAGAAAATATGCAAACGACACTAAGCCTGGCGCCTCTGGCGTGACCACATGGCCACGATAGCCATAAGTGGGTTCATGTTGGAAGGACAACCGCGCTCGATTATCATAGGTGGTCATGCCCAGCTCGCCGGCTGCAATTCCTCCAAAGGCCAATGCTAGACGTTCAAGCGATGGCCAGCAAAGTCATGCAAGGGAAAAGGGAAAGAAACAACCCATTTGTGAGACTGTTGAACAACAGGCCATAGCAGCAGATTCAATCTTTTTCGGGTGGCTGTGCGCCTACACACTTACCGTCAGTGGCGGGGCCGGGGCTGAGGGCCAGAGTCGACCCATTGCTGAGGTTGGCAACACAAAGCAACATGGCACTTTCATACACGCGGCGGCCGGTACGATCGACTCCCGCTGGTGCCAACGTGGTTGCTTCACTTTCTAGATGGGGGTCCGATTGCGTCGCAGGCCAGTGCACCATGCGCAAGGACAGTCCAGTGCTGGCAACGACGTGCACCGTGTGTGACGCTCGTAGTAAAGGGGCGTCTGTGTGCACAAAATGGACAGTATGTTGGCCCGTGCTGACACCAGAAAAGCAGAGGGAGGTACCACTTCGGCGTAACGCCGAGGCATTGAATGCAATAGACACGAGCGCGCTCGCGTCTGACGCCGGACGTCCGCCATCGTAGAGCAACTGGACGCGAAAGCAACGGCTAATCGCGGTACCAAAGCTGACCAACAAGTCTCCCGGCACGGTGACAATTGAAGTAGAATCCATGGGGGCTTCCACCCCAGAGTCGAGGTCATATGCAATGACCTGTAGGGCGACTGCGCGAGCCGGAGCCACGGACAAGTTGACCGCATTGGTCGACGCCACAATTCCGCCGCACGGCACTGGTTGCATCAATGCCACAGTCAGAGTGGCCGTTTGAGCCATTGCCACCGGCACCCGCGCCTCGATTGAAAGGTTCCGGGTGGCTAGGACCGCTAGAGCAGAGCTAGATACGGTTGTTTCCAGTTGATGCATTGAAAGAGGCACGATGGACCAATCTTGAAGCACCAGATAGGGTGCTAACGTGGCTGTGGTCTCGTTGTCTCGCAATACCGTGCTGTAGGGCGAGGGTGGTAGGGATGCTGAGAGATCCCACTGCTGTGCAGCTTCGCCCCGAGCGCTAAACGCAGCCTCGACGACGCTGGGAGTAATGAGGGCCATGTTCAAGCCCAAAATTGTGGCGGGAACGGGCAAGATGGACCGAGACACGACCGAAGTCCACAAGCTGTTTCCCTGACGGAGTGCCAATGTCAGATTACTTTGGACGGTCGCGGTCCACACATGGGGACCGCTGCGCCAAGCTGCGGCGTCAGGCAAGCAGTCGGCCAGTGAGCAGCGGTGCGTCACATCGACCATCATCCCGTCAACGTGTGCCAAGATGCGCAAGCGTTGCGGAGCTCGTCGTGCACCGTTTGTACAGGTGTCATCTGACCGCCAGCCCCAGATGGGGCGACTGAACCCGCGATCAGGCACCAACGATACGTTCTGCGGTTGGTGCACGCGAACTTGGACGGTGACGTTGCGTCCGAAATCGCCCGTGGCCAAGCGCGTCGTTGCCGTCAGCTGCAAATCAAAGCTGTCACTGAGTGTGTCGGGCCAAAGCACTACCTCAGCGCAGCTCGCAGCTTGAACGGCTGCCGCAGGATGCGCCGTGCAAGTCATGGCCTCGGTCGACATGTTGGTGGTACGACCGTCTGTTGTCAGAGCCCGCAGTCGCAGGCTCAGGCGCCGAGGTTGGTGCTGCAGAGCACCGTCATTCAAGAGCGCGTAGTGGCTGGGCACGGGGATCAGCAATGAGGTCGCATCGGCAAGCTCGGTGTCCAAGACACGAATGTTGCAGTTCGTTGAGGTACAGTACGATGAAAGAGGTGCCAGTGCCCCGCCCCCGTCACTAGCGGTCCACAGATGGAGGGCGAGTGGAAGAGGCACACTGCTAGCTGCATCCATAGGTTTACTGACGGTCAATGCCACGCGCAAAAGGTCGAGGACATGGATAATCTGTCGTGTTATGGTGCTCGAAGCCGTGGCAGCCGTGGTCTGGCGCGCCGAGAAGACGACCCAACAATGCGTACTGTTTCGCACAAACCGGCTTGTTCCTGTCCAGCCAGTCGCCAGCTGTGCATCGCGGAGTTGGAGTACGCAGGGTACATCCAGCGCCCCACTGAGAGTGATGGGCCCGTGTGACCAAGCATGGGCTCCGATTTGCACGGCAACCACGTCACCAGCCCGTGCCGGCTGCAAAGGGGTGGTTAGAGAAAGCTGAGCTGCTTCTGACACGGGAAAACCCGGCTGCGTAACGTCGTGGCTGAGCCTGAGAGGTGGGCAGGCGATTTTCTGGCCTGAGAGCGTGTCGATCAAGTCAGGCGTCACAACGACCTCACGTCGATCTGGATGGCTCATGTTTGCCCAAGTTGAGGGATCGGCGCCAACTGTGGCCGACAACGCGGCCGTCAGCTCCACTGGCGTGAGCTGGAAGACACAGAGGCCGTCATTGTCAAGGCGACATGTTTGCAGCTCCACGCCACCCACTTGCATGGCCAGTGGACGCATGACGAGACTTGTCGCCGCTGGGTGATATGCATGGCCGATCAGGGTGATCTTGTCAACGGCACTGTGTGCAGCAACCACCGGGGCCGCCCAATGGCAAGCCAGACGTAAATCGAGGGGAGCAAGTGACCCACTCAGCATCAGCTCCCGAATGACCGGCACATGACCTGTGGCCCGAATCGGCACAGGAAGAGTCAGCACATCACCCGCATGGCCACCGGGACTCGCAGGCATTAGATCCACCGACTCGACCTGAATGGCCCTTGAGTTGTTTGAAGCCAACAACAGAGCCGCGCTCGGGCCTAGTTCGAGTTGGATATCAGGCCAAGAAGGCGGCTGGGCTTGTAGCAAGCGCTGGTGAGCCGCTGCCATGCGTGCAGCTAAGTTGGCCAGACGCTCGCTGGTCGTCGCCAAGCGAGTCTGCAAAGCGGCCGTCGCATTGAACGTCGGCACTACGTGCAGACGGCTTTCCAACTCGGATGCCAGTGTTTTGCTGGTGTGCACGAGCTGTGAAGCGTCCACGGCGAGGCCGTCGGTGCCACGTGTCAAGTTGGCTAACAGAACAATGGGAGTGGATGTATTCAAGGAAGTCCAAGCGCAGGACATATTCATCTGATCCGTGGCATTTTGGGCTGCTGTTGCTATGGCCGCAAAGCCAGCTGTAGTGCGAGACGTCAGTCGCGTAACTTCTGCAAATGGATCGATGCCTGCCTCGGCGGCCAGGAATAACGAGGTATTGAGGGTAGCTGCGGCTTCGTTTAGGCCTGATAGGACTGCAGAAGCGTTGTTCAAACGACTCACATCTGCTTGCAAAACTGCCTCATCGAACTCCTTCAGCAGTGGAAGATGTGCAACCTGTGACTGGGCAGCCCTTGTTGTGGCATTGGCAGCTCGGTTTGCAGCCACAAGTGTAGCCAGGTCGGCAGCACTGTGGTTAGCAAGGACTGCGTTGTCCGGATTCACAGGCGGTGCCAATGCAACCAGCCATTCGCCCATGGCTGCAACCGTGCGCTCCGTCTGATCGACATCACTGGCTGCCACACGAGAGAGGTTGTGAGTCTGAATGGCCTGGGCGTCAAGTGCGTCCACTGCTGCATCGAGCGTAACTGCTGCAGCCGGGATGGCCTTGTCCAGAAGGTGTGCGCTGTTGTTGAGGCGAACTTGCATGCTGGCGCCATCAATACGCAGTGCGGCTGCTTCAGCCTCGACTTCTGACAAGAGGTTGGTGGTGTTGTTCAGCGACCCTTGGACTTGCACCAGCGCTTCGACGCTGGCAATATGGTGCTCTTGCAGCCTGGAAATATGAGCAAAAGTGTCGCTTATTTGAAGACGGCTGGCCTCGAACCGATCAACTAAGGTGGCGATGCCAAGCGTCGAGTGGTTGAGGCTAGCAAAGGCATCAGCAGAGTCGGTTGTGGCATTATCCAAAGCGATCTGGATGAGGCCACGTTGGGCTTGCACCTGAGCCAGCTGCCGGTGCAATCCGGAGACCGCCAGAGGGAACGCGCGTGCCTGCACCTCGGCATGTAGGGCTCTATCAAATTTCGTCTGAGCGGTCGCGAGCGCAGACCTGTTGAGGCTGTTGCTGGCTTCCGCGAATAAGGCGGCCCACTGAGCAGCCAGCGTCTCGAGTGTGGCAGCAGTGTGTGCAACTTCCCACGCCGTTTGAGCTTGGTGTCCCCCAAGAGCCTCCAGGGACAAACGTAGCCGATCCGTCGCCAAAATCATCGTCACAAAAGCCGGGGCCTGCCAGGTGGTGACTGCTCTGCGAAGGGTGCTGTTGCCTGCGTCCACCGTCGTTGCCAACGTGGAGAGCTCTTGGGCAGTCACTGTGAGGGACGTCAAGGCAGATTCGCGTGCAGCCTGAGCTGCAACCAGGTCTGAACGCACTGCATCGAGACCCATCATTGCAGTCATGTTCACATTTCCAAGTGCATTCGAAGCGTTGTGCCACAAGTCGCGCAAGTGTTGCGAGCACGCATTGCACGTCGCGCAGCCCACAAATGGAATCAGGTTGATGGCGGTTGCGACACACTGATCGCATCGTGGCCCTGCCACCCCGGGTAAGCATCTGTGGGCCGCCACAAGAACACGTGTCATCGGTCAGCCAGCCGTGACTGGATGGATGATCTCATATCTTTAGCATGGGAAGGGGTAGACTTACAGGCAGGTACCAGACAGAGGATCGCAGGCTCCGCGGTGAAGAGTTCCAGCTGGATCGCAGGCACAGGCGCGGCACCCAGACGCGCTCAGGTTGAAATGGCCAAACGCGCAGCGATTGCATCTACAACAAGTCCCAGTCGTCCCAGTGGTCAATATGTGGGGGCAAAGCCGTTGTGATGCGGATGTGGTGACCAATCAAGCATGGGCAAGAACTTCGCGTGCCACCCCGACAACAACAGCCCATATGCGCACTCGGCCCACAAGCCCGCTCCATGATCGATCAGCTTACCTTCTATCGTTAGCAACGCCGGGCCGACACGTGCAGGCCCCCTGGGCCTCATCACAGATCGGGGAGACGGCCCCGAGGGTATGGCAGTCACAATCTTGACAATCACCAGCGGCTGAGAGAGCTGCGGCACGAGCGCCACGAGCGCACTGTGCAGCGTCCACTTGGTTCAAGGGATAGGCTAGGGCTGAGCAACGGTGTGTGGTGCGTAAGCTGGCCGTGGCTGTGATGGCCGCTACAGCAGGGGCCACTGCAGGCTCCAGAGCAGCTTCCATGGCAACAACTGCGCGTGGTACCAGCGCGAGGGCGTCCCAAGCACAAAAGGAACCCATCTCTGCATTGCACACAAGCGTGATAAGGACGCTCCCTTGGATCGTGAACTCCAGCGCATCGGCCAGAATGGTGTCACAAAAGTCATCATTAAGACATGGGGCCAGATTTGTTGTTCGGGCGGCAATGGCAAAGTCGTTGAACTCGATGCGCACGAGCGCGCTTGCTTGTGAGGCATGGCGCAGAACCAAAGTATGCGAGCCGCTGCTGGCAGTCAGGGGCAGGGCCACATGAATAGGGAGATGGCTGCGTACAAATGCCAACCCCAGGCCTGAATACTGCATGGTTGCGTTGGGATTGCTGGGTACAATGCGTTGGATCACGCTCGCTGCGTTGATAGCATCCTCAATCTGATACAATGAGGTGGCCACAACGGGCGCAAAGGTGCCGGCTGAACAGTGATCACAGGAATGGCCTTGGATGTAGTGCCCACGACACGAGCATGTTCCGTTGGGTGCACACACAGAGCTGGCGCTAGCGCCGGGCAGACAGGTGCAGCCCGCGCACGGCAGTGAAGTGGTTGCATTGGTTGATACAGGGGTGTAGCCAGTGGCGCACTGGTCGCAGTGCTGCCCAGTCATGCCTTCCCGACACGTGCACTGGCCTGTTTCCTGCAGCAATAAGAGACCGGTGTGCAGTCCAGGAATGAGTCGAGCATGGCGGGAGCCTTTAAAAATGAAAAAAAAATATCATCATTCACTCCGAAGACCAAATCTCTCGACACAAATGTGTCATGTGCATCCGGCGGACAAGCCAAGTTTGAGGCTCGAACTATTCTGATTGGTTGCCGCTGGCCTACCTGATCGCAGCTTGAACCGATCGCACCGCGTGGATCACAGGCGCAGTCGAGACATCCATCTGCATGTGCCGTGGATAGATTGTAAGAGCCGGTGCGACACGTATCACACTTGAGACCAGTGACACGGGCTTTGCAAAAGCACTGTCCAACGCCAAGGGCCTGTACGTCATCCTCCTCCTGTACGCAGGACTGCACGCCACGATTCAGGAAATTGACACGTGAGATGGATCGCATCACAGCAGGTGATACACGTCTGGCTGGAGGATGAAGTGACGTCGCTGGTGCCACACCTGATTGGAAGCACCTGCTCGCACGCAGTTGCACGCTGAGCAAGGCGTGGGCGCGTGGCGGCTCACACCCTCGGGTCGGAAAAAGCCTGATAGACAGCGCTCGCAGTTGATTCCTGTGGGCACGTTTCACCGATGTCAGTACCATGACATAACATTTCAGCCAGAGGCTATTTGGCTGCGCCTCAACCTGCACCGACCTGCAGTATGATTGGCACAGGCTACACAGCGTCCGGCTCCCACATACTGGCCATCTACATTAAGTGAGGAACCTTCCACACTCGGGTCATAGATGCATGAAGCAGCATGTCCGAAGCACTCGCATGGTTGACATGCGTGGGTGGCATTGCTCGTTGCCGGGGCCCAGGGTTGCTTGAGTACGTGCTGACCGGTGGCATCAAGGACCCCTGTCCAGGATATACAAGCGTAAGTGTTGATGATGGGGATGATCGTGGGTGGGGCCAGCTCGGCAGATGAGATCGCACCTTGGTTGAAAAGGGGTAAACAAGACTGGCAAGACCGGCCTTGGGTATCGTGCTGGCAAGCACAAATACCCTCGTCCAAATCACAGCTATCAGCATGACCATGACAGTTGCAAAGCCCCACCATGTCCACTTCAAGGAGGGAGTGATGGTAAATAGGCGCATCTACAAGGGCGGCAGGAGGCTAGAGACAGTCCAGGTATAGAAATGTGGACGTAGAGACGCCAGCAAAAAAAAAAACAGAAACACATGCATGAAATGGGCAACGTCGGCATGAGGACACAAAGTCGCTGTTGTCACCAGACTGGACGGAGGTGCTGACCACGAAGCGATGCAGCTGCAGAAGACGAAGGCGGATGTGATCGGCCGTCACAAACGCGCGGACGGCATCCACCTCAAGACTGCGGTAGTCACTTGTCAGGCCTAGCGACGGGTCACGCCGTGGCATGAGACGCGGTCCGGTTTGACGCACGGGAACAAACGTGAACGCGAAAGGTAGTCGATGTACCTACTCGGCAAGGAGAGGAGAGCTAGCACAACAGGGGCTGGCGCATATGGATCGAGCTGTTCTTGCACGCACTCGGCCTCGGCGGTGCCTGTGGAGGTGATGCCGGACAGCGGCTGCATGCCAAACGAGGCTATGATTTGTCAAGGCAAAAGAGCACCGGGTGAGATCAACGAGGCCAAGCCAGCGGTTCTGCGCACATGTGGCATTCTCACAGGATATGGGGGCAAAAAGCAAAAGGCCTGGGACGTGCCTTGACAGTCGCGGGCCATGTACCGCCAGGGCGTGAAGGAGTGACCCCCATCTGTCGAGCGCTCGATAACCATGGCTGCAGGCTTGGGCGAGTTGAAACGAATCAGGACATAGGCAAGGTGGTACTGAAAACTGGACTCGGCTGAATTCTAGGGGCGATGCGTCAGCGTCAGCGTCAGCAATGAGATATAAGGGTAAGAATTTGAGTGAGGGTGACAATGACCATCGTCAGAAGAATGAAGAACGTGAAAACCGGGAGAGCGCAGGGGTGGAACCAGAGGCCAAGGCCAAGGTCGAGGCAGAGACAGAGACAGAGACAGAGAGTCTCAGCCTCTTCGCACAAAAGGGAAAGGAACAGGGTGAGGAGCACACGCACGGGATCAAGGCTGATTGTGACGTTGATGTCGTCCATGCCAGGTGGACCTTGCCAGAAAGAAGATAGGTCGCCATCAAGGATGTGGGAAGGCGGGTGGAAGGTGTCTGGGTGTGCGAGACTGCAGCTGTGTCCGCAGCTGTAGGTCAGCTGGGTGAGGCCTGCACAAAGACCGCCATTAGGCACAGTCAAGGCAAGACTTGGTCGTTAAAGAGGGGAGCCAAGCACTGATGCGGGAGCTCACCGGCGACGAGGCAGACATTTTCGTCTACGGGAGCAAATGCGGGGGGCGTCGAGGAGTGGTGCTGCTGCGCATAATCCAATGCATCATGCTCGAGCAGGTTATAGGGTGGGACTGCCGACTCGCTGCTGGACCGGGCACCACAGGTCTCGGTTGCGATGGCTCGGGCGCCATGGCGTAAGGAACCTGCAGCAATGACCCAATGGATACTAGAGGGATGAGGGCTTATGAAGCTGTGCAGCAGCGCTGCCCATGCCTGTACGAGTTGAGCGCCAGTTCCAAGTTCGGCGAGCTTTACCGGCTTGTGGTGGCAGGAGCAGTGAGCTGTAGACCAGATCTGCTTGCAAAGCCAGCAGAACAAACAGGCAAACGCCTGCGCTCAGACACCCATCCATTCCCCTTTGAATCTGCCAGAAAATGCGACGGCACTCGTGCGCACAGTTGCCGCGGATGGGAACGTTTTGACCCGCCATCAGCAGCCTCACTCGAATGCATGCATGCAGGCTAATGGGAATGATCCATTTTTTTCTGACAAGATGACGGAAACGAGGTGTGTGTGTGTGTGTGTGTGTGTGTGTGTGTGCGGTCTGTCGTCGGTGGTCGTCGTTCGTCGCCGCGCCCGGCTGCCCATGCGACCCCTGCTGCTGTGCTCATCACTGCTGGGTGTTCCGGGGGGTTTTTTTTGGTGGGGGGCGGGGGACATGCTTCTTGGCTTGTGCTAGTAGTCGGCAAGGCCGGCTCACCTCGGCCATTGCACGGCGGCCGTCGCCAGAAGGTGAGTCTGGATTTTCGTACAATCCATCAGTGTGGACCTTTGCGTGCACTGATAGTGTGGTGCACCTGAACTGCAGGCGCGGGCCGCCGCGGGCGTGAGGCGCGCGAGGAACGCGAGGGACGCGAGGAGCGTCGATTCTCAAGCCGTGAACGCGACTCCCGGTATGTGTTCATACAAGCAGGACCGCTCGGACAGCCTGCGGTTTAGGCCTTGACTTTTGATCGCGGCACCCCACTCTGCAGCTCGAGGTCCATGCAAGAGCGCCTCTCCTATCGAGACGATGACCGGCGTCGGCCGGGCCGCAACGAGGAGGACCGGTATGCTTCACCACCTTCTTGCAGAGCACATAGCACTGTGCCCTTTCAGCGCCGTGTCTGAACACCAAACGGTCTCATCACAGTGCTTGCCTCTTGCCTTGCTGTACCCTGGCCGGCCTGGTGACAGAGACGATCGATCGCGCAGCTGGCAACGACGATCGAACGAGGATGAGAAGAGCGACGCTCCTCGCAGGTCTGCTTACGGGAACAATCGCTTCTAGTTACGAACAAGTCCATCCTTGTCTTTTACACAGAGGAGGAGAGGAAACAAATTGACAAAAATGGCTGCTCATCTGTCTTTGGTGTCGCTGGCATCAGGGAGCGAGATGACGGTCAAGAGCAGGAGCGGCCGCGAGACCCTCAGCGTGTACCGCGACGTGGCTACTTTTACGACCATGATGACCGTGCGCGAGGACGCTTTCATGGTCGCCGCGAGGGTTCGAACCAGGCACCGCTGAAGCTACCTCATCTGCCTGCCCGATGCTACCTCCTGGTGCTAACCAAACGTGTCGCCCAACTTGACAGGAGGGCGGTACGATGACCGCCGCCGTGATGACCGCCGCCATGATGACCGCCGCCGTGATGACCGCCGTGATGATCGCCGCCGTGATGATCGCCGCCGGGATGATCGCCGCCGGGATGACCGCCCTCGTGGAGACTACCGGCGCGAGGATCGACAGACCTCGGCCGCCAACGGAAAATGGTCTCACGATCGCTTTCAGGTATGCCACGGGCACCCCACAACAGGCACATGTCTATCACACGCGCAGTGTCTCAACGATCCCTGTGCCGTTCATACGCAGGAGCTGCAAGCAGAGGCCGCAAACACGGCCGAGCCCACAACTGCCGGGGAGCGTGCCGCTCAAAACGACAATGCTAAGACTAGCCCCATGGCCGAGTCAGGGGCATCGCCAGCCCGCCGGGGTGAAGATGAATGAGGCACATTGTCTTTCGGGAATGAATCCCCTTGTCAGTGACTGCCGGGTGCATAAAAACAGCCCTTCCTTCCTCTGCCATCACCATGAGGCTTTTTCAAATCAGCGTCAACTCTTGGGTCCGGATTCATGACGGCTGCGATTCTTGCGGCATGTGTTGTTAATTTCTCTTCTTTTCTTCATTTTTTCCTCCCGTGTGTGCGTGTTGGAGTTTGGAAGCACGCGCGTTTGCATTAATTAAGATCAGACGGTTAAGAGGCTTGGTCAGGTGCGCTCGCTTGCGTGCCGTGAGGCATGTCGCAAAACAAAAGCTCAGGACATAAAGAAAGAGGGCTGGAGGAACAGGGGAGAGGCCCTAAAGTGGCTCGCTCGCTGTTCACGCTCCGTCGTGCGGCCTGGCCCTGAGGCGTCATCAAGTCTCGGCAAGTAGCTCTTGCGCCTGTGCCTGCAACTGCTCAGCCCTGCCGGCGTCTTTGGCAACACCATCGCCTAGGAACAAGTTTGAAATGAGCGGCGGCAGGGAGCCAGGTTGCGAGCCGTCGGCCAGCATGGGGGCTGTTGTTCACACTCACCAATGCGTAGCATACGAGCCGCGTTGGCGCAGCCCCAGGCATGGTTGAGCTCGCAAGCGCGAAGAGCAAACTCGAGGGCTTTGGGCATATCCTTGGCCACGCCTGTCGAGGAAGCAAGGGGAAAGTGTTAACAAGACTTGTGATGGAAACAGACGATCAAAGTGAGGAGGGCCAGGTGGGTGCCGTTGTGCCTGCTACGCGTACCCTCGGCCCCTTGCAGGTACATGGTTGAGGCCATGAAGCAGCCGTTACGAAAATCGCGTTGGCAGCACTTTTTGAACAGCTCGAGAGCCTGGGGTGCATCTCGGGGCACCTCATCTGGGATACCGGCTCGTAGCATCATAGCTGGGCGATGAGGTGCAGATCAATGCAAGCCACGCATGGAGTGAGCGTACAGGGCCAAATCAAACTGGGGGCGCTGGTGGGGGGGCCGCAAACCTTTGTTGTGACAGCTCTCCACGTTGTCGAGCTCACAACCACGACAAAAGGTCTTGAAGGCAACTGGCAAACTGGCAGGTGTGCCACGCCCAGACATCTGCGCGCTTCCGAGCCGATAGCAACTGCGACCGTAGCTTTTCTCAAAGCACAGCTCCCGATACATCTCGATGGCTCTGTCAAGACACAACACCCCCGGCCCCATGAGAGACCGCGGATGTGACCAAGCCGAGTAAAACCTCTGCGCAGAGGCAGGCTGGCAAGTCCGCGCAAGTCCGAGCAAGTGGAACTCCCGTACTTTGTCGCGTTCTTGTCGACTGTCTCGTAAAACTCGGCGAGGGCATGACAGTCAAAGGGCTTTTTGAACTCGGCACACTCGCGTTCATGCTCCCGTCGCAGGTCGTTAAAATACTCCTGAAGCTCAGACCCATCCTTACTCCATCCGTACGTTTCCGCCATGGCGCCAAGGTCGCACGTCACCGACCGGGACCCGTCACGAACAGCACCACCAACACGAGCCACTGAGCTGAGCGGGCAAAATGGACTGACACATGTGTGTGTGTGTGTCAAAAAGTTTCACACACACACACACACACACACACACACACACACACACACACACACACACACACACAAAACGGTTTTGTCTTTGAATTTTTCGAAAGGGTCATCTGCGTCTTTACTTTCGAGGCATATTGATCGAGTGGACCATACGGCACGCGAATCGCATCTTTACTCACACTCGGTGTATGTGTGAGGTGGTGTGCTGACTGTGTGCGGTCGGTTGAAAAGAACTTTGCTGCACGTTAAAAGTCACCAACATATAAATTGGCTGAAAGGCTCAAGCACAGGCATGTGACAGGTCGAAAGACACACGTATGCAAGGAAGAAGAAGGAAAAAACCGAAAGCGCGTAGGCAAAAGCAGAAAGAACAATGAACAACAATGGTTCTAGAGAGGAGGGCGGGCCAAACTGCCCAACAAAGCTGAAACTGGGACTGCGAACTGTCACAGGCAAAACACAGGCAGGAAACAAGAAACAGGACAGCAACATACAGAGCGAATCAAGAAAGGAAAACCAACAAGCAAGATTCGCACATGAAATCATGTGCACGTGAGTGTAGGGCACGCGAGCGAGCGAGAAGCAAACAAAAAGGGTGAAGAGAGGTCTGACGGCGGGGCACAACATCTCGTCCACGCTTCTCAAGCCAGACTCGTGCAGCTTAGGCGGCCTTGGCATGGGGGTTGCCAACCTGGTGCATGTTGGAGAGGGTGTCACCCAAGCAAGACCAGTAACCGCGGACGTCATAGGGCAGGCCGTGCTTCTCGAACAAGGCCTTGACGCGAGGGGAGATTTGCGGGTGACGGAACTGGGGCATGCAGGGAAAGAGGTGGTGCTCAATCTGAAAGTTGAGGTAGCCCATCCACCAGTTGCAAAGGGGTGTGCCGGCAATGTTGGTGGTGTGCTTGGCGGCGTACTCGACCCAATGGAGGTACTCGTCGGCCTGGCTCACGGGCAGATGGGTGTGGGAGAGGGCAAAATTGGTAAAGATGTAGGCGGCCCCAATCATGTCGTACAAGATGTAGAGACCGATGGCTTGAGCCCAAGTGAAGTCACGAAGGACGACACCAAAGATGACCAGGTAGCGCACGGCAAGAGTGAGGAGCTCGAAGCGCTTCTTGGTGCGGATCATGTAGCGCGGGTGGAGATAGATTTGCCAGCCGAGGGCCACAAGGAGGCAGGACAGGGGGATGAAGCAAAAGGCTTGGGCACGCAGCCAGAGCTTGACGAGGGGATTGCGGGCCTTGGCGGCGATGACAGAGTTGAAGGCAATCAGGGGAAGAGTCTCCAGATCCACGTCGTGCTGCAACTTTTGCGGGGTCGCATGATGACGGTTGTGCTGAGAGCGCCACCAACCGGCCGACATGCCACAACCAATGCCATAAAGGGCAATTTGGAGACCACGATCCAACATCACACGGCCCGTAATGCTGTAGTGACCACCCTCGTGCATGAGCCAGCCACAGCGACCTTGGACGATCGCCAGCATCACCACGCCGAGGGCCGTGAAGAGACCCCCCTGCCACACAAGATAGGCACCGAGGACGTGCATGCCGATGATTTCAGCAAAGCGCAAGGCAATCTCGCCACGCGAAGGCTCAAAGAGGCCCTCCTCCTTGAACTGACGACGCAGGGCAGCATAATCCTTGGTCAGTTCCTCGCGGTTGTTGTAGCCACGCTCGACCATGACGTCCTTGGGGGCCGGGCGGTTGGGCAGGGACTTGAGCAGATACTGCGCGCGCTTGCTGCGCAGATGAAACTCCTCAAAGGCCTCTGTAGCATCGCCATTGTTCACCAAGAACTTGATGACCGAGCCACCTGGAAGGCCCATCAAACGGCGCATGAGATGACAGGTCTACCGGGCAGAGCCAAGGCAGCCGAGGCAGCCGAGGGGCGGAATGCTGGGTTTGTGGGGTCAAGGGGAAGAAGCGCCATCTCAAACCAACTGTACCTGGGTGCTTAAAGCCAGAGACATCGTAAAGCTTGCCATTGATCAGCACCTCCTGAACTTCCGACGACGCCTGGTCGGCGCTCGACTTGGTCGACGACGGCATGACGAACGAGATAGATGGCTGGCTGCAATCACAATTTGGTCCAAAGCACATCGATGAGCCATGGTCTTGAATCCCAACCACTTCCCACCAGGGCAATACAACCACCATGCCATCCAGAGCAACCCAGAGAGACCAGATCCAGCCGAGAATCAGCCCAAACCGCCTCCCGACCCCGGTCTCAGACGACAGACAGCCATCACGCACCTCGTTGAAAGAGAGAGAGAGAGAGACAAGCGAGAAAGTGAACTCAAGTGGTGCACTCTGTTCTTTGTTCTGTGCTTTGCTTCTCTCTCTCTCTCTCTGCTTTCTCTCTCTCTGCTTTCTCTCTCTCTGCTTTCTCTCTCTCTCTCTGCTTTCTCTCTCTGCTTTCTCTCTCTCTCTCTCTCTCAAACTCTCTCTCTCTCTCTCTCTCTTTACTCTCTCTCTCTCTCTCTCTCTCTCTCTCTCTCTCTCTCTCTCTC